TAATTTTCAAATTTATTTATATAAAATCCTTTCTGCTGATGCCAAGCCAAACTGTCAGCACATTTACCTCTATTAAAAATATAGGTGTTCTAACAACAAAGCAATCAAATGCTTAAAAAAGGGAGAAAAAAAAAAAAAAGAAAAAAAAAAAAAGGAAAAAAAAATCCTTTTATCTAAGCATAGATAAATAGTTTTTTTTTTCCTTTTACTTGCACCAATCCCAGAACAGCCTCCTCGCACAGTTCTGTCCCAGCCATGTGCCCATGGGCATTTAGCATCAACTTCAGATCTTCTAAATGTTGCTCTCACAGTGGTATTCAAGCACAGAGCCTGAAACAGTAATAATATATTTTAAATGGTCTGTCATCAAAGTTTTGCCAATCTCAGGAAGAAGAAAAATATCTCTTTGTGCCAGATTATTAAATGACCCCAAATACTTTTCTTTAGATACTGTTTATATCTATTAGAAGTGACAGAGGAAATGACTTGTGGTGTGGAAGAGGAAAATCCTTTGTTCATGTTACTCCTGTTCTTTTTGTATTCCATTACTTTTCATACAGTAATAAATTTAGGGAAGAAAACGTAGATGGCTTAAAAAAAAAAAAAAAAAAAAAAAAAGGAAAAGAAAACATGTCATAGCATTTTTTATTAAAGTTCTTCAGTTAAAGCTGAAGCAAGAGAAAGAAGTTGAGAAGTGGGGTAAGGAGGAGGGAATGTGCTGCTTGATGCTAAGAGAAAAGAAAGTCATGATGCAAGTTGGGAGTCTTAATGATACTTCTATTCATTCTTTTCCCTTCCTTCCTCTGGTTCTAGTAGTTCTCTCTTCTCCATAGCATATATAGCTCACTATTTTGCCACAAACGGACATTCAGAGATAAACAAGATGGGATGTGTTCCTGTAGTACTTTCTTTTCTAATGCTATCTCATCTTCATTTGTTTTCCCATTGGTAAATCCCTCAAGTTGATAAACTTTGTCCATGTAGTGGTGTTGGTGGATTTATCTTACCTTTCCCTTCCAGTGCTTGTTTGGTCTCCCTTTGAGTCCATTTCATATATTTGAAATATAATTTGGCAAGGAGTTTCAGATTCACTGCTCAGTAGAGTAAGACAAAAAGGCATGCTAAAAAGATGCCTTTCACTTTTGTATGTGTTCTTGTTACAACACTGTTGAGTTGCTTCAAAATGATGCAAATTGAGTCTTTATATTGAGAGTGTGGTGGTTTCTTTTTTTTTTTTTTCTTTTTCTCTCAGCTTTCTTTTTTTCTGTTTATTTAGGAAGAATACATAGTGGTACAGGCAGGATGTGTTGTGCTGACTGTAACAAAATCTGAGAGGTGCTTATTGAAAGTACCAGGTTTATTTCCAGTCAAGTGTAACATCAAATGCGTAGAACTCCTTCAGCCTTCCTACTCAAGTAATTTTGTCATTGTTATTTCTTCGTCATTCCAATAAACGGCCAAATTTTGCCTTTTAATATCTATGCAGTTTGTCCTTTGAATTCAAAGGAAGCACATGCATTTTTGGAGATGTTTCATCTAAGTACAGTGAGTGCTTTTGTGAAGGCTTTGCTAATTGCTCACTTAAGTGTTTGTTTTCCAGCTTGGCTGAAGAAGGGAAAAATGATTTGTTTCATTTATTTATTTATTTTTATAAAATTAATTCACCATGAGAATTTTTGTGAATTAGTCTGGAATCAGAAAGATCAGAGTTCCTGGTCTATCACAAGTTGTCTTAGGCAAATCATTAAGTTTCAAAGTGTCCCATTTGTCATACTCACTAAAATTGACTGAATCTGTTTGTTTGTTTCAATTGCAAATAGGTCAGGGTCTGCCTACTGCAGTTGTTTGTCGTTGAAAAATTCTATGATACCACTGTGATCTTTGCTAGAATTGCTTGAATCCACTAGAATGCAAATATCTGTATTTTAAAATATATGTATTTATATGTATTGAACCCTTCAGCATAAGGTTCTGGGACAGTCGACAAATGAAACAACCTGTGATTTATCCATGTCTTGATTAATTTTAATCATAGTTATTTATAAATTTGGACTTCCCTGACAATTAAGATAAATTTTGCTTCTAATGAAGACACAACTGCTCAGTTAGAATGGGATTATGGTAATTATTAGAGTTGCAAAGAAATTTGTTTCATAAGCTCTTAGAAGGGTTAGTTATCTGACCAAAACAAGATCAATGTGGTTGGTGCTAATTAAAGCAAATAGACTAAGGAATAAAAGAATGTTTAATTCTAAATTTATGAATATCATTAAAAGCTTACATAGCTAGTTCAACTTGTCTGTTGTGCATTGTTGGGGGAAGAAAAAGTGTCTGCATTTGTAAGACAAACAGAAATGAAAAGTGACCTTCAACTTTGTAAAGCCTTTTTTAAGGAAGCTGTTTTAATGGAATAAATGTGTCTAAGCCTCTGATACTGGGCCTTTGGCAAACCACAAATGACTAGCGATTAGTTGTACTGTATGGGGTTAATTAATAAGAGTTAGTTTAAAAATAGGCAGAAAACATTTGTCCATTACACTGATGATGTAAATTATGATAATGATACAGTGCAGTGCTATTTTTACCTCTCCTAAGAGCTTTATAAACATCAGATATTTCTTGTCTCCATCACTCTCTGCAATATGAGTATAGCTACTTCTCTTGTAAAGGTGATATAAGTGAATGTTTATCATCAAAAAGCAGGTAGAAGTGAAGGCAATGAGCTGTGGGCAAGACCAGGCATGACTGAAGTGTAAACTTGAGCAAATTGCTCTTCCAGTCAAAATTTATATTTATCACTGCAGAGCTGTTGAACCACTGTGCTTCTCATGAAGTCTTTGGGATGAAACTGCTGGTGAGTTCTGCAGAGCATAGCTGGGCACAGGTCATGCATCAGCCAGTCCTACTTGTGCCATCCCATAGGCTGTTCTTGCCTTCTTTAGCATTGACCCACCGCTTAATCTCTTCTCCATTGCCATGAGTAGATGTGATGGCAGAGGGGCTGGCTAAGCTGTCTCTGGGGCTTTTCTCTCTGCTGAATGATTTCTCAGCATACCATTAAAAGCTGAAGGCTTACCCTTTCTCAGACTGCCTGTCAGTACAAGGCAAAACCAACAGCTTTGCCCATCCCCTTTGTCTTTCCTGTTTTAGATGTTTAAGTAAAAAGCCTAAGAAATGGTGTCTACTACAGATAAACTGACAAGATGGACTTTGAGACTCACCGTCTTTATTTCCCTTTTGCACCAGGGAGGTGCAAAAACCTCCCTGGTGAGCAAGAAATCCAGGAGCGTATATGCTGTTTTCTTTCCCCATTCTATATTTGAGACCAATGATTAGTGGAAGCCATAAAAATTATTTTTTGTAAGAGTAATATACTTTATAATTGCCTCAACTGATGTTACTGATAGTTATAAATATCAAATTTTCTTCTTGAATTCCTTATGTCTGTAATATTTGAATAATAAATAATGACTATAAGAACAATTGATTAAGTATTAATAAACATGAGTTAATCTTTAATCTTTTGATGTTTAATATGTTGTCTGTGTAATTTTATTATGGTGGTATAAATTGTGGCCAAGTAAATCTGAGTTCCAGATCAAATCTCAGCCCCATACATATGGAGACAAGGATATGTGTGCAAGTACTTCCACACAGCATGTTGAGGACACGAAGTTAGTCTGATAGGCCCTTATTCACATATGCAAGTTTCCTGGAGTAGTTAGTGTTTGGCAACTCCAAACAACCTTGGACTCAAGTAAGCTGATGAATGCATGGCTGGTGGGGCTCAGAAGCCTGTAGAGCACAGTGGCCATTAGTGACACATAAATTTTCTATTTCTACAAATTAAATGTGCTTTAATTGTCAGGATTCTTGAAGAAACAGACAGAAAGATACAGTTAAAGGCAATGTGCACAGTTAAATGCAAACGTTTACTAAGACTGAGATGAACTACAAGAAAATCAGGTCTTCAACTAGTACAAATCTAGGTAGCTTCAGTGACTTCATTGGTTGCGGGCAGCACTGAAAAATCTGGGCCATAAAAAGGTTCAATTTGCAGCCAAGCAGACCCTAATGAAATGCTGGCGAGGGTGAGATGGATAGATTGTCTGTTTTCTATCCACCCACCCATCACAATTGCATCAGTGGTATTAAAAACAAGTTACTCATTTTTCAGAATTTGAACACACAGTGTAAAAGAGATTATCTAATATACAGTAAGGAAAGAAAAAAAAAAAAAAAAAGGAAAGAAAAGAAAAAACAATGGAATAAGCTCTGTTTCCATGTAGACCAGTGTAACTCCATTACACTGCCTGTATTTACACCACTGTAGTTCAGATCAGTGTTCACCTCTTGTCCTGGAGATTGAATTTATCTCCCACAGCTTTTGTTTCTGTTCACTTCCCAAGCTGCATGCTGTTATGCCTCTTTCTTCTTTTAATAATTTGCTTCTCAATAATACTTTGGAAGCATACCAACTAAAACAAGGGAAAGAAGAGAGAGTACAGAACTCATAACTGAAGCATATTTCCCCTTTCACTTCTGAGATTTTAATGTCATTTGAGCTACCACAAAATGTAATGCAGCCTAATTTTGGTGATAATGATTCCTTTTTAATCAGAGGACTGGGAATTCTTCTTTGAAACTAGATTTCAGTAGTATTTTCACCTTTTATTCATCCTCCTCCTCTGTGCTCAGATAGTTTGTGGCACTTTAATTGCTAACAAGTGATGGACAACTGGATTTTTATTTATTCATTTATTTATTTTGAGAGTGATCTTTACTGCCTTGCTGGATTTATTAAATGTTGTTGTCTTCAGTGCTTATGATGGAAGTCAAAGATCAGAGGAATAACTAATTACTTCAGGTAATATGCAGTGATTCAGCCTTAGGAAACTATTGCCTGAAAGGAAAATAGACTTTTTTTTTTTTTTCCCAGAACATTATTTTTATTGAAATATTTATAATGAATTACATTTTTTAAATCTGTCTCTGACCAGATGTTTGCCTAACTACTGTGAACATGGAGGAAAATGCTCTCAGTCCTGGACCACATTTTACTGCGACTGTAATGATACAGGTTACACGGGAGCTACCTGTCATAACTGTAAGTAAACTCACACATTCATTAAATGAATGAAAAGGCCATTAAATGAATGAAAAGGCCAATGAATGTGAAAGGCCTGGAGGGGAAGACGTACGAGGAACGGCTGAGGGCACTGGGCCTGTTCAGCCTGGAGAAGAGGAGGCTGAGGGGAGACCTCATCGCAGTCTACAACTTCCTCGTAAGGGGGTGTCGAGAGGCAGGAGACCTTTTCTCCATTAACACTAGCGACAGGACCCGCGGGAACGGGGTTAAGCTGAAGCAGGGGAAGTTTAGGCTTGACATCAGGAGGAAGTTCTTCACAGAGAGAGTGGTTGCACACTGGAACAGGCTCCCCAGGGAAGTGGTCACTGCACCGAGCCTGACTGAATTTAAGAAGAGATTGGACTGTGCGCTTAGTCACATGGTCTGAACTTTTGGGTAGACCTGTGCGGTGTCAAGAGTTGGACTTGATGATCCTTAAGGGTCCCTTCCAACTCAGGATATTCTATGATTCTATGATTATTTTCTACTAAAACAGATATGTCAATGTGCACATAAAACAGAGAGAAGCTTAGTGAGATGTCATCTCATATTGTAGGATATGACATGCCCTGACATGGCTTATGGAAGAGTTCAAGAACTGGTCCGGGAAAACTATGGGAACCCATTTATAAATTTGCTTTTTTTTTGACAAATATTTTGGTGAAAACAAAGCCATATTATTTTAACTGCTTTCCACATTTTTTCTCATATTGTGCAGTGATTTGGAGAACCTTTCATTCATTCATGTTGCATACACATCACAGATTAGTTAGTTACTAGACATTTACATTTAGTCAAATTTAGCTAGAATGAGCTGGGTGATTTGAATCTCTGGTTGGGATTGCATGTCAAGCGCCAGTAATGAATGTATGAAATAAGAAATACTTGCTCTTCAGTACTATGTCTTCTGTTCATATCTTGAACCAAATGTGTAGGCCAATAGAAAGTGGATGGGTTGTCTTTGTTGCTCGTTATCTGGAAACTCATGTTGCAAACCCAGTGTTTTCGTGAGTTTATTGTTTTGGAATTTTGCTGAATTCATTGGGCTGTTGCCTTTTAGCGAGGATACATTATCTGAAACAGTAGCAGTACATGATGAACGCACATACTGAAATCCACAGCAAGGATTATTAAGGTATTTAAAAAAAAATAAAATATCACAGTAGGCACACCACTCTGGGAATTCTGATTAAAAATAAATAAATAAATAAAATAGAAAGGGGAGTCTAAAATAAAGCCTGTTCATAAAGCTAACTAAGAGGAAAAATAGTTAGAAAATGAAGGTAAAACTTTGTTCTATCACTGGAGATAGAGTAACAGTTCCAGGAATACAGCTGTAACCTCTTCAGGTATTTGATGAGCAGTTGGACTGCAGATAGGATGAAGCTGGTGAGAGATGCATTTTTCCCTGGTAAGCTAAAAAGCAGAAGAGAAGAAAAGATACTTAGTGGTCTGAAGCTGAGAATATTGGCAATGGTACTCTAATTCTAGAGACCCTAATGGTTTGCCACTTAACGATGAAATCATTTGTGGTGTGAAGTCTCCAGTATATGGGAGAGGCAGTTGAGAGATCTATTCATAGATTTGTCTTCCAAGCTGAAGGCACCTGAACTACATTGTAAATTCAAAGCAAGCTAAGTGTTTGGTGCAGAAATCATGTTCTACTGTACCAAACTAGAAGAAGGATGTGAAGAAAAATACCAAGTTTATAATTCAGAAGAGAGGGATTGCTGTTTGCCCGGCATTTTTGTCATTCCAAAAGACATCACTCCTCTTCAAATCATCCAGACCTGAGCCAAAGTATGCAGCAATTAAGGTCATATCAGAATATTTACACCAGCTGATGCTTGGTGCAAAGCTAGATGGCCAAATCAGTTAACGAGAAGAGAAAGGGTCCTTGTGGCAGGAAGAGATCTGTTGACCATCAAAGGTGGTTAGGGATGCTAACCTCTAGGCTACACCTGAACTATCACATTAGCTCAGGGCCTGAGGCTCACTATGTCTCTGCCAGCTTGGCATGGCTCGTGTCTGAAGGAGACCATCTCATTAATTATTGCAGAGGACTGGTTTATGACTAGTTTTCCCCACAGGTATTTGCATGGAGTTATTGAAACCTCCTGCATCTGTGAACTGATGTCTGCTCTCCCTCAGATCCCAAAGGCACACAGACGTCTGCAGTTATTTAAGGTTCACTACCCTGTAAAAACTACCCTGATAAGTTTCTCAAGAAGATCTATGTTAAGACTTGAATCAGATCAAGCTGTGCACACATGTGATGTACAGCTATTCAGCTGCTGAGCTTATTTACAACCATATTATCAACAGCTAATTTGATTCCAGCTAGATTGTGCAGCCAGCTGCCCTGTAAACCAAGCAGTGCTGATAAGCAGTAACATTAGTCTGAAGGAATCCAGTCATCTGCTTGAGATGTGTGATGAAACTGTTTCAAAGCCGATGGGCAAATGTAGGTTGTTGATAAGAAACCTGCAGAACAAGAGACGTTATCATTTTCAGCTGATAGTGGTTGACATACAAGAGTACCTTGTAGCAGGTGAATGAAAACCTCAGATCTGATCACGGTATAACTCCAGAATATCTTCAATATAAGGGCAACTCTTCCAATCAGGTAATTCAGTATAGTTCTATTAAAGTAAAACATCTAATTTCTTAAATTTTGAAACGCTATCTCAACAGACTTTGTTTTTTACTAGAACACTGAGGCTGACAGTCCTGAAATTGAACTACTACCACTTGGAGAGGTTATTTCTTTTACAAAAATGCCCTTCAGACTTAAGTCTGTGCAGCAACACTGGAAAGATTTAGCTGGCAATCTGCTGCAAGTCAAACATACTGTGACTAGTTTCATCGTCAGGTGGATTTTGTTTCTTTCTGAGTTGAATCACTGTGATTTTTGTCTCTCTTTGGTGTGGTGTTTGTAAGAGGTTTTCTTTGTTTTCAAGAAGTACTGCATCATGCGTATCTGCAAACCAGAATTAATAGATTTATGTTTTATCAGCTCAGACTGTGAGACCTTACCATTTTAAGAACTGATATCTGAAGATATATCATCCTTAACTGTACTGTCATCATCTCTAAATAGTTGAGCTTGTGCATCAGCATTTTGTGGCTGATGCACAAGCTGTCTTACTGGGTTCTTCTAAACATTCGTGGACTTACGCTGGATCCTACTGTGAGAAACAGTTTATAATACAGATTATTCTTGTTCCAAAGAGTTTGCCCTTTGGATTCTGAGATAAGAAAACATTCTGGTGTATATGATGGAGTGTCAAAAAGTCTTCATCAGCATCATAGACAGTGGTTTCAGTCTACCAGTTACATAATTATTACTAGAATTCCTTAGAGGCAAAATGTAATAAGGTGGATTAAAAAGAGAAGAAATTGAATGCTCACAGGTGTGAAGGAGTGACATGGGAGAAAGCAATAATGTGCTTGTTTGAAAAATATAAGGCTATGACCAGAGAAGTTTGACGTTTTTGACAGGGAAAATGACAGGTAGACTGGTTGGAAATATTCTGTGAAAAGCAAACTAGGGGGAAGTAGACAGTGGCAGGACAGAACAATATGTTGATAAAAGACACACCTGGAACAATGTTTACATGACCATGTCAGATAAGTGAGACAAGATTGTGTCTTTCATGACTTAAAATGGGTATAGTTGAAATTCAAGATGTGTGGATGAAGAGCAGAAGTGCATATCTCAATACATGTATATATGTATAAAGAATTAGCTGATCTAGAAATGGCCTGGATGTAATCTTCCCAGAGGTAATTGGTGTACTGCAAACATCAGGTATCTTCCTGCTCATTCAGAATCCCTTTTGATTCTGTAAGCTTCTGAACAGTTACAAGAGTTATGGCAATCTACATTATCCAGGTGAGGGACCACCAGCAAAAGGGTATAGGGTCACACACCTTTAAATAAATATAGTGCAGCAGAGAAGTTTTACTCTGAAGTTTCCTTTTGTCCCGCTTTTATTTTCTGAACTTAGCTGTAAATACAAATAAAGTAGTGATAAAATTCACTAGTGGTTTCTGTGTTTCAGTAACTGTACCAAAATAGATATAATATTATGTTTGCTTCTATTTTTCTATTTTAGATAGAAACACCAATGTCAGTAAACAGCTTGGGAAAAAGGCCTAGGTAGGGTTCAGCTCAATTTTGGGGGGGTAATGTAACATATATTCTAAGATAATGGTCTCTGTTTAACAGAATGGCCTTTATTTAGCAGAGGGAGTGAGCTACCTTCAGAATTTGACTAATGAGACTGTAAAATAAGGTGTCTGTGGAATGCACCACTTCTGAAATATGCCAGTTTGTCTGTTTACACAGAGGGGGACTGTCTCAAGTTAGATGTGCAGTTCAACCTAGATCAGGATTATAGATGTATATGTACAAAGAAAAAGAAACAGAGAGGAATTGTAGGTATATAGATATATTTTTAATTGAGAGGTCATAGCTGAAAACCTGAACAGTCATCGCTCTCATGGTATTAATTCTGCTTGTAATTATCCTGTGACAGGGAAAGCAGTAACAAGTGTAAAATAGCCCTGAGATACAGACTGTTATAACTTTATTGCAAGGTAATGATTGGTAATCTCCTCTTTGTGTGAGCTATGTTACTCCCTTAGAAAGCCTCATCTTCCCTCTCTGCATTTCTGTTATTTTTATGTATGACAGGTTTCAGATGGCCTTTAGTCTTGGGTGTATTTTTTTATTCCAAAGGATGCTGAACATTGAAATAAAGGATGATGAGAAATATAAAATAATGATTTTATTCTTCGTGTGCTGGGGATATCAACATGTCCCAAAGCTTTGCAAGGTGATAATTAACAGAATGTAATTTAATTCTGGATATTTGCTTTGGTGTGTGATCTATCTTGTGCATACAGGCATGTGTCTTACTGGCCAAGGTAATTGCTGGAGGAAGGAGCCATCCAATAATGGAAATGTCATACAT